AGAGAAAAAAGAGAAAAAAGGGAGACGACTGTGGACGACGTGGCGACACAGACACCCAGCCAGGCGCCAGCGGTGAGGGGGATAGTCTCCACCTCGATTGTCTCCCTTTGGTCACGGCACACGTCACGCATTCCAAGCTTTTCACAGTCAGAAATAACACAAGTTCCAAAATTTGTGATGGAGTTAACGCTTTAAGAGACACAGTTAGCTGCGTGATGTTAAATTTACATTCTGAATTTAGAGTTCTTTAAGTGATCAATTTTTAGTCTCCCTCTTTTTTTAAAAAAAGAAGCTGTTCCAATTAAACGTCTTCTCTGTAAATGTTTTGAGAGCTGTGAAAAACGTCTAAAATTGAATCATCTCAAAATCATGAATGGAAGATACTGATTTGAACAATGATTGCAGGCACTGCAGTACAGAATAATATTATGACACCACCAGAGTTTTAATGGACAACCATGAAAGAGGCCCAAGAGTTCTTCTATGATATTTCCCATTTAAAACATGGATTAGATTTAGCACCCTTATCAACACAATTAGGTTATTTAAGAGGCAGGAACTCCGAACGGACCGAGCCAAATATGGCATTAGTGTAAAGTGCCTTTCCCAAAGACAGAACGTCGGACCGAGCTAAGACTCAAACCTTTTACATCTTGCATGTCTGCCAAAAACTCTGCATGGTCTGCTAAAAACAACCCGTTCACAAGAAGAGATTAGAATAAAAATACGTTTTCACTGGTCAACACAGTATGGTACTTTATAGGAATTTTCCTTTCTTCACCCAGGTGGGAATGGGTACTCGACAATAGACAGTGAAAGATCTTGTCAGTATGTTAGTGTTTAGCGCCTAAATGGCCGCTTGCACTGTATGCTTCCCAGGAAGTTGAGATTGTTTCAGAATGCTCTCAGGTCTGCTGGGGTAATAGTATAGATTGTGAAGCGCATAGAGCTTGCTGTTGAGCGGGGATTTGCGCTATACAAATGCTATCTATTATTATTATTATTATTATTATTATTATTATTATTATTATTATTATTATTATTATTATTATTATTATTATGATATTATTATTATTATTATTATTATTATTATTATTATTATTATTATTATTATTATTATTATTATTATTATTATTATTATTGCGTAAATTCTTTCAACTGTTCGTTTTTGATTAGCGGTATACAGCATTGGGCTCTTGTAAGTTCTCGATATATACATTCAGTAGTGGTAGGCGAAGTGGAGTTTTGTATTACGGATTTCCTCTCTTTCCATTTTATTAGACCAAAAGAACCCACCGAAACAACAAATAATTTGAAAAAAAAAAATGAAAAAAAAGACCTACGAGTTTTTGACACTGATCCGCAGAAACATAGTGTGTCAATACTTTTGACATACTCTGTGGTAGTTATACAATCTAATTAGAATTGCGATTTATGATATTGTATTAAAAAATCGTATAAACTGACAACACATTTTCTAGAAAGTTCTTACCTGTCTATATTACATTAAACGCAGTCAGTACGACAACGACCACATTTTGTCATAGAAATAGGATACCAGAATGCAGAAATGAAGGAGAGAGAGAGAGAGAGAGAGAGAGAGAGAGAGAGAGAGAGAGAGAGAGAGAAGATAACATTACAAGGCCAACCGAACACCAGGACAATGTAAAACATATTACGTAACTAGTGAGAAAACACGTATAAGTGTCGTGACGTGGTGGAATCAGGGGCCGTCAAATTTGGGGCATGTGAAGTTATTGGTATCAACTTAAATCCTGACCATTTGCCTTCCTTTCGGTGAAAAAAATATCCATCCATGATGAATAGAAGTCAAAATATTTGTGATTGAAGGAGGTCAGGGTCGCCTGGTTTCAGAGGTAAAATTAGTGAGAAAATGGCCGCCAAAGTTTGGTAACTTCCATGGCCTGAGAGTCCTTGGAAACTGAAAATTTACATGTTTTGTACCTGTAATCAATGTGTTTTTTTCAGTAAAATTCACACGAAATTTAAAAAAAAGTTAATACCAAAGGTGCTGAGCCCAAAAAAGAAGAAAAAATTGTCCATCGGCTTAAAAATATTCCGATTTCTTTGACTTCATTATTTTAACGAGCGCCTGATTTCACAATATCGCCTCACATAAGGACATGTTCTATTTTTTCAACTTTCCCATTTATATGATATTGACACCATCTGATTAGTAGAAAAAAAGTGCTTATGATAGTGTCCAATAGTGTATTACGTGCATACTTAGTATGACAAGTAACTGTTACAGATAGAGATTCCATGATTATAGATGTAAGTCATTGATCTGAGAGCCATAATGTTTTTAGAAATAATAGTGGTGATGAGTGATGGTGCGGGATTGCATTTAAGTAATGTTAGCGTTAGTTCTATCTTCCTCTGCTCCAATGAGTCACGAGGGACGTGGTCACCCTCTATCCCGTTACCTATGGGAACCATCTTTACGGTCACCGTGACGTTTGGAAATGGTGGGCACAGTCTGTGCGAAGGTGACATTGTTAGTGTTAGCCTATTCTATCGTGCCAAGACAACTAGTGTTGAGAGTATCTAAGTGGGAAGACAGTATAGTGGCATTTTTGTTGAGGTATTCGTAAGCGGGCTGAAGGTATCAAGTTGACTAAAAGATTATGAACTTTAAAAAAAGCAGCATTCTACTCCCTTTATCATTTACCTCCAGTATTCTTTTTGAGTCCTTTTTTAACTTGCTGAGATAATGAGACAGAATTCACGAACCCGAGTCGAGAAGGCACAATTTACAAATAATACTGTATCCCCTCGCCTCAGGGGGAGCGACCTCAAACTCCCAAATCAAGTACTCTGTGTCTGAATCCTCACGGTCTCGTCCAATATTGGTATAATTCCAATGCTAACGTTTGGGCGCAATTCCTACATTTTACAAGTCAATATTGATACGGACGTGTTCTATGAAGAGGTATAGCCGCCTTTTTATATTTTGACGCATTTTGGTTTTAATCTTTTAGGACAAAGCTCTGTTTTTGCAAGTGGTAAATGTGCACAGAAAGTGTTAAAACAAGTTTTTTTGCCCACGCATTGACACACTCGCGTACGTGGCTAATGGATTAGGAAGACCACCAGTCGCAAATTTACGCTGTAGATAACTGTCTGACCTTGCTAATTTATCAGGAGAGAAAAAAATGTTTGTCTTTATTTAAATAGACTGGAATGAAAACTATCTCGCTCTTAAGGTAATAGTGTCAAAAGAAGTGGTAAAAGAAATTGAGAAATAGCCCAACAGAGAGAGAGAGAGAGAGAGAGAGAGAGAGAGAGAGAGAGAGAACGAGAGAGATAGATAGATAGATAGAGAGAGATAGAGAGAGGGATACAGAGAGAAAGAGACAGAGAAACAGAGAGAGAGAGGGAGAGAGATAAAAAGAGAGAGCGAGACAGAGACAGATACAGAGAGATAGATAGAGAGAGAGAGAGAGAGAGAGAGAGAGAGAGAGAGAGAGAGAGAGAGAGAGAGAGAGAGAGAGAGACAAAAAAAAACAGGAGACAGAGACAGAGACAGAGAGACAAAAAAACAGGAGACAGAGACAGAGACAGACAGAGATATTTTTGTCCGAAGAACCTTCAGGCAACTATGTGTACATTGTTCCAATACATATAGAAAATGCGTTTTTATTTTGCAAAACCACTAACAACAACAAATCATTATGCCTATAATTGTCTTGGAAAGCAATAAATACATTTTGATTTAGTAGGGGACAAGAAGTATTTCTGAGGATAACATTATGTATATCTGACTTATAACTTTATGTACAGGAACATAATAATATATTGAAACACAGTTAATCTTCAATCCCTTTTATGTACAGTGACATATAAACTAAAACACAGTTAATCTTCAATCCCTTGTTACATGCTGTTTCCGAAACCACTCGTCCTTTGCCTTACAGTATGTTGAACTTCTGATGAAAGTAAAACGAAAGGCAAAAACAAAAACAACACAAAACACACAAAAACCCAAACAATTCAGAAAAACAAAGAACAAAGATCTGAACTGGTGCTTGGGTGTCAAAGCCATCGCTACGTTCCAAAACCTGGGGGAAAAAATTTAGTGGCAGGACGCGGTGAAATCAGGCACCCGTCAATCATTGGGTACATGGAGTTATTGGTAACCTCTGTAAGCGTGCTCATTTGTCTTACTTTCGATGAAAACATTATCCCTCTATCTTTAATAGAAGTCGAGATATTTGCGATTCAAGGAGGTGGGGTCGCCTAGTTTCGGAGGTAAAATTATCGAGAAAATGGCCGCCAAAATTTGGTGACATCCATCGCTTTAGAGTCCTTGGAAACGGCAAATTTAAATTTGTGGTGCCTTTAAACGTTTTTCCATAATATCCACACGCAAAAGTGTTTTTGAAAGGACATACAAGATGTTGAATCCCCCCCCAAAAAAAATTCGAAAAAATGTCAAACTGTCAGAAAAAAACCGATTTCTTAGAGTTCTTTATTTTGACGAGCGCCTGATTTCACCACGATGCCTCATATGTAATCTTTTCATATCTCCGTGGGCTTATCTCCTTCTCTGGTATAATAATATCTTGTCCGATGCTAGATTCGTTTTACGGACATGTTAATGAGTTACTGATGAATTGTTCGCTGGGATGGTTGTCAAATGGCGAAAAAAAAGTGGGGGGGGGGGGGGGGACGATGGTGTGTTATGAGCTTAGCAGGTTTTAGGCCTGCCTATGGTGTTTTTGTTTCTTCCGACCACCCTGTTTTCAACATTTTGAACGAGAAAACCCCCCAAAACAAAACAAATCAAAACAAAACCCAACAATCCTACTTTGACCTGAGAGAACATAGTATTATTATTCCAACTCAGGTCGTCTTGTAGTTGGGACGAATGTCACAAGATTCCTGTCTTCTTATCACCAACCTTGAGTTTATTATCTTTTAACAAAGGCGTTTCTGTTGTGCAAGTTTTCCGCAATGACGCTGCGTTGAAGAGAATAAAACGCTAGGAGAAATCTGAAACTGTCCACCTGTGGCCAGGCAGAAGTCAAGAGTAGTTTTCACCTGGTCCTGTCGTCGCGTGGTAACGATTTTAAAGACTCTACAATATTATCATGACGTCAGGATCCCTCCGAACAATGGGTAGTGTGCCAGTGCTCATTCTGACCTTGACATTGCTGATGCCGTTTGGTCAAACGTTGACATGGATGACCGACTACAACCTGAATTTCCATTTCGACTGTAATTCAACAGAAAAATCACTGACGGTAGGTAGAAGTTTCAATCTCACGCTCTTCTGTAAACAATGGAATACTTACTCGCCAATCAAGATGACCTTTTTGCACTTTAGCTGTACTTTAGATCTAAGCTTATGGAGTTGTGAGAGCCGTAAAACCTTACTAAAACTCAATCTAATTGTCCAGATGCCAAAGTCGTTCTCATGGGAAATACGATAAGGTCAAGCCTTGCATGAATGTATGACATACTTGAATACCTGAAGGTGTCAAAGATTGACGTGTCGTCATTGTTAATTATCGCTAGCTGCTCTCATTGTTTTATATTGTTTTAGTAAGTTTTCTACGGCGTTCCCAATTGCATAAGGTAATATGAGCGGCAAGGGGTGGATGTCAATAGAGAAGTCTAAACGGGGAATCAGGCTTACTCTAACTCTGCTCACCTCTCTAGCCTCCACAGCACAAAGTCTGCTTCGACTATCACGGCACCCCTGAAATAGCAGTTCACAAGAGAGTGACAAACATACAAACAAAGTAGAGGAGAAATGACGATAGTAAGGATGAGGAAAGAAAAAGTAGCAGTTCCCTATATGTTGTTCCGACAATGATAAATCAACTCATTTACAATTCTACTGTGGTTTAGAACATGTTAATATCCGCCTTTTGGGAATGACCTAAAGAGTTGCTCTCATAAACGGTCAAGGTAAAACCTTGATGCTGTTTGTCCACATCATGCTTTGTTAACCCTTAGCTCTTGTACCCCGCATCTTGTCTCCGAGTGTATGACATAAAATCGTTAAAGTCATTTCATAATTACACAAACCAATTTCTGTAGGTCTTCATAATAAAGCCGTTATTCAAATAAATACACTAAGGGGCACATTTCAATGTTTCTTCCAAGTTTTTAATTTTTAAAAATAACCAATGCCACAATGGAGGTCAATCAATCTCTCTCTTTTTTTTTCAAAATTTTGTTTTTCTAAAGTCTCGAAAAATGACGCTCATGATATAGAGGCTTTTAAAAGCCAATCAACTGGAAGAGGTGTCGTGCCCTATGAAAATGAAAAACAAACACACACAAATAGACACACATACACACAGACAGACAGACAAACACACTCACTCTCTCTCTCACACACACACAAATACGCACACCCACCCACCAACAAACGCACACACACACACATACACGCACACACACACACACACATACACTCTCTCTCTCT